GGGTCAGGAGAGGTCTGCCACACCATGTGGTCACCTCCAGGGCGGGCGGGAATCGAACTCATGCGGAAGCAGCTCCAGATTCCCAGTGCTGTGCTTTAACCCACTGCGCCACCAGGGAGGGCCCCAAATTTACTGTTTTAAGGAACCTCCACATAGCTTTTCAAGGCGGCTGGACTAGTTTACATTCTCTCCAACAGTGTAAGAGGGTTCCTTTTTCTCCATTTCCTTGCCAGAATTTGTTTCCAGTATTCTTAATATGTGCCATTCTCACTATTGTGAAGTGATATCTCATTTTGGTTTTGATTTGCATTTCCCTGATTATAAATGATGTTGAACATTTTTTCAAATTTGTTGGCCATTTGTGTTTCTTCTTTGGAGAAGTCTTTTAGATCTTCTGTCCATTTTTTGACTGAATTGTTTACTTTGTTTTGTTGAGTTGTGTAAGTGCTTTGTAGATCTTTGATAGGAGTCTCTTATCTTATGGTATGCAAGTATTTTCCTCTATTCAGTAGAATGTCTCTTTATTTTAGTTACTGTCTCTTACTGTACAGAAGTTTTTTAGCTTGATACAGTCCCAGCTATTTATCGTCTTCATTTTCTTTGCTTCTGGGGGTGAGTTCTCAAAGATGTTTCTGAGGTTAATGTCATAGAATGTTTTGCCGATGTTCTCTTCTATATATTTTATGGCTTCAGGTATTACATGTAAGTCTTTTATTTTTGAGTTGATTTTTGTGTATCGTGTGAGGTAATAATGTAGTTTTATTCTTTTGCATGTAGTGGTCCAGTTTTCCCAGCACCATTTAATGAAGAGACTATCCTTATTCCAATGTACATTCTTTGTTGTGGATTAGTTGGCCGTGTGTGTGATTTTATTTCTGGGCTTTCAGTTTGATTCTGTTGGTCTGTGTGCTTATTTTTGTTCCAATATCTTGCTGTTTTTAATATTATGGTTCTGTAGTATAATTTGAAATCTGGGAGTTAATACGTCCATACCTCCATTCTCCCCCCGTTTTTAGTCAGGGGAGCTCTGGCTATTCGGGTGTTTTTATGATTCCATGTGAATTTCTGCAATACTTGTTCCACTTCTTTGAGGGATACATATTGAGAATTTTTTTTAAAAGATTTATTTTTTTATGCATACAGAACTGGGGTATAAGCCAGAGGTGTGGGTGAGAGAATTCACCAAAGACAGTGGGGAGTAGAATGTGTATCATGTGAGATAATAATCTAGTTTTATTCTTTTGCATGTAGTGGTCCAGTTTTTCCAGAACCATTTAATGAACAGACTATCCTTATTCCAGTGTATATTCTTTGTTGTGGATTAGTTGTATTTCAGGTTGACTGAAATACACTCTTGAGGGGAGCAGCAGGCTTGTCACGAGAGGTCTGCCACACCATGTGGGTTAACTCCCTGGCTGGGGCTTTGCTTTAACCTGTTGCACCACCAGGGAGAGCCCACCTATTGAGATTTTTATAGAAGTTGAACTGAATCTGTAAATTATTTTTGGTAGGATGACTATTTTGCTAACGTTAATTTTTTTTTTGAAGATTTACTTATGCATATAGAACAGGGCAGAGGCACAGGGGTACTGAGAGGATTCACCAGAGTCAGAGTGGGGAGCAGAACAGTCAGATTGGGGCCGTACACTGCTGAGGGGAGCAGGGGCGAGACAGCAGAGGTCTACCACACTGTGGATCACCTACTTTTATTATGTTGTGTTCCTTTTATCCTATTTCTCAGAGGCCTTCAAAATAAATAGATGCTGAACTTTATCAGATGCTTTCTCAGTATCTATTGATATTATTGATATCATATGGTTTTTATTTTTCATTTTGCTGATGTGGTAAATTCCATTAACTGATTTTCACATGTTAAACCATCCTTGTGTTCCTGGAATAAATCCTGGTTGGTAATGTTGGATAATACTTTTGATGTTCGATTCAATATGTTTATATATATATGTGTGTGTGTGTGTGTGTATATATATATATATATATATATATAT